TATTCAGTTGTAAGGAAGCATACAATTATTTTATTTGCAGGAAAATGCATAGAACTAAAGAGCTATATTAAGCAAATTTGATCCAATCATTGTTGTCAGAAAGATAAATATTTTCTCTCATATACAGAATCTAGATTTCAAAAGAAGATACAAAAGCAGATGAGGGATGTCTTAGTTTGGTTTCTGTTTCTGTGATAAAACATCAACACCATGATCAAAACAACTAGGGGAGGAAAGGGTATGTTTGGCTTACAGACAGTAGTCCATCAGAAGAAAAAGCAAAGGCAAGAACTCAAGGCAGGAACTGAAGCAGGGACCATGGAGAACACTGCATACTAGCTTGCCCATCCTGACCTGCTCAGTTTGTTTTCTTCCCCAGGTTCACCTGTCTAGGCACCACCCACCTTGGGATGGGATCTTCCACACAAATCATCAGTCAAAAAAAATGCCCCACAGACTTGCCCCACAGTTATCCAGTCTGATGGGGGCATTTTCTCAGTTGAAGTTTCCTCTTCCCCAATAACTCCAGCTTGTGTCCAATTGATGAAAAACAACCAACACGGGGCCTATTTGGGAAATGGGCAGGGCAAGGGGACAGCAGAGTGTAATGGGTGGGATGGATATGGCTAAAGTACATTATATGCATGCTTGAAGATCTTATAAAAATCCATTATTTTAGTCTACCAATATACACTAATAAAGAATAAATGAATGAAATAGAATAGAGGTCAGAAGTATATCCACATTTATGCAATCACTATTTTTTGATACATGAGTATGCTGTATTTCCATCTTTTTACAGTTCCTTCTTCCTCTCTAATTCCTCCCATGTTCACCCAACCATCCTCTCTTGAACTAATGACCTCTGTCTTAGTGAGGGTTTCTATTGCTGTGAAGAGTCACTATGACTACAGCAACTCTTATAAAGAAAAACACTTAATGGGGTGGCTTACAGTTTCAGAGGTTTAATCCATTATCATCATGGTGGGGGATGATGGCATGCAGGCAGACATGGTACTGGAAAAGGAACTGAGAATCCTACATCTTGATCTGCAGGCAACAGGAAGTGAACTGAGACATTGGGTATAGAAGACCTCAAAACCCACACCTTAAAGTGACATACTTCCTCCAACAAGGTCAGACCTGCTCTAACAAAGCCACACCTCAATAGTGCCATTCCCTATGAGTTTATGGGGGAGCAATTACATTCAAACTACCACAACCTCCTTTAAAAAATACTTTTATTTTATGTGTGTGTTTTACTTACATGTATGTCTATGCACCACAGCAGGCAGTGCCCATAGAGGTCATAGGAGGGTACCAGATCCTCTGGGACTGGAGATACAGATAGTTGTGAGCCACCAGGTGTGTGCTGGGAATTACACTTGGGCCCTCTGCAAGACCATCAGTACCCATAACCTCTGTACCACCCTTCCAGCCCCAATGACCTCTTCTATATATGTTTTTATGGTATCTATATAATCTTTGTACACATCTAAGTGTATATGTACAATCCACTGTGTCCAATTAATGTTGCCTAAGATTGGGGTATTGTCCCTGGGGGAAGGGAGGAGACTGTTTTTTCTGCTCTCAGCACTTTTCCTCCATCCATGTTGGCATGTCAATTGGTGTTGTCTTTGCAGGTCTTATACTGGCAACAATACTCTTGAGAGTTCATGGACACAACATCCCTGTTCTTTCCAGAAGAAACTATCATGCAGCAGTCACCTGTTCCTCAGGCTTCTGAAATATTCCCCGCTTTCTGAACTGCTCTCTGAGCCTTAGGTTAGGAGGCTTGTTGTAGAGTTCCCTTTTGTGGCTGGGCACCTCATGATCTCTGCATTTTGATCAGTTGTGTGTCTCTCACATGGTCTCTATCTGCTGTGAAAATAAGCTTCTTTGAGGAGATGTGAGAGCTGCACTTAACTAGTACATACAAGAATAACTGTCTAGAAGGCAGCTGGAAGCTGTATCACTTTGGCAATATGGCAGTAGTAGGTTCTCTTCTAGGGCCTGTGATCTCTCCAGCCATGATGGGTTCTTGGCTTGGTTTATCACACACAAGTTCTCTCCAATTGAGTGGGCTTTAGGTCAAATTAGATATGGCTGGCTATCTATCATGTATCTATCTATCTATCTATCTATCTATCTATCTATCTATCTATCTATCTATCTATCTATCTACCTACCTATCTATCTATTTATCTATCTATCTACCTATCTATCATCTTCTATCATTTATCTATCAGTCATCTAAACTCAAGATACTTTGATCACTATCTGTTCCATATATGAACATTAATTTAAGATGGATCATATATTTAATACAAATATAAAATTAATAAAGTCTTAACAAATGTGAAACAACAAAACAAAAACTTTTAAAATTGGACTTCCTTAAAATGAAAAACTTTTATTCTTCAAAAGACAATATAAGAGAATGAAAATATAAACCATATGCTGGAAGAAAATATTTTCAGAGCATAAACTTGATGAAGAATGAACAGTTCAACTTAGAAACAGGCCAAAGATTTTAAAGAGACATAACCACAAACACATGGAGGTAGCATATAAACACCTGAAAATATGCTCAATATCATTAATAATTGAAGACCTGCAAATTAAAACTACAAGGAGATATTACTACACACCTTTAGAATGCCTAAAGTTTAAAAGATACTATCAAGAGTTGGCTAAGATTTGGAGGCACTAAAATTCTCACATGTATAACGGGAACGTAAACTGTAGCTGGAATTTTCCTGTGTCCCCCTGTCCACGGACGCTCAGACCCAAGTAAACACACAGAGGCTAATATTATTTTTAAACTATGGCCATGGCAAGCCTCTTGATATCTAGTTCTTATATCTTAATTTAACCCATTTCTATAAATCTATACTTTGCCACATGGCTTGTGGCTTACCGGTACTTTTACATCTTGCTTCTAATGGCGGCGGCTGGAAGTGTCTCCTCTGCTCTTTTTTCTCTTCCTGTCTATCTGTATTTCCTGCCTGCCTCTAAGCTGCCTTGCCATAGGCCAAACAGCTTTATTTATCAACCAGTCAGAGCAACATATATTCACAACATACAGAAAGATATTCCCATCAATAACCACTTTGGAAAATAGCTTTGTAGTTTGTGTAAATGTTAAACATAATTTTACACATTGCCTATACCACTTTGCATCTATGTATTTATTTATTCAAGAGGATAAAATGCTTATGTATAAACACCAATATGTACATCAATGATCTTAACAACCTTCTTTGTAATACCCCAAACTAGAAATAACTCAGATATTCATTAAGAGGTGATTAGATAAAGACATTGTGTCATAGCTCATACTGGGGATGTATGTCAGTAGTAGAGTGCTTGCTCAGAATGTTGGAGGTCCTGGATTTGATTCCCAGTGCAGAGGTGGGATTATGCAGTGGAATACAACTGAGAAATAAAATACTATGGCATAACAATATGGATGAACCTTGACACAACTATGCTGTGTGAAAGAAACAAGCTACAAACTATATACTACAGAGATAAAATTTGTAAAAATGTAAACTCCACTCACATGACAGAAGGCAGAACAATAGTTGCTTAGGTTTGGGAAAGGAGAACCATGGAAGCTCAGGAAGAAGCAATATGAAGAGAAATGAGTGACTAAGCCAGGAGCAAGGACAGGGATCCACCCCTTCCCAGTCAACACCAGCATGTTCAGTAAAGCTCTTGCTGGAGGCCAGGGATGCCAAAGAGTCTTCTGATTCCTGGTTGCTCACTATCTCTTACCTTTGCCTGGATGTTATAGGTGAGGACCAAATCCTAGAGAAGGCACCTGGACACCGCAGAGTTGGACCAATGGACTAACCAGTTTACTCCCTTTCCCAAACCTTGCCCCAGTTTCTGCCATAAGTCCTTTAAAAGACTCCGAGAACAGCACCTTGACGGTACCCAAGCCCTGGGGACCCCTCTTGCTATAAATCTAAAGTATCTCTTCCCCTCTTTAGCTCTCAGTTATGAATCAAAAAAATCTCTTTAATACTCATCTTCTCTGTCTGTGAATTTCCTTCTTTGAATTCTCAAGACACCCTGAAGCCACAGACTCAGAAGAAATTTTGTGTGACCTGAGCACACGGCACCCTAACTCCTGAGTTAAAGCCCACCCGAGTGTTGAAAAACTTCATCCCTCTCAAAGACATCCACAAATTTTCCTATATCATGATGAGAGATTATAGTGGTGATTCCATGTGTATGTACATATGTCCAAACTATGCACTTAGATAATGTCTTAGTCACTGTTCACATGCTGTGAAGAGACACCATGACTAGGGCAACTCTTATAAAAGAAAACATTGAATTGAGGGCTGGCATACAGTTTCAGATGGTCAGTCCATTATCATCACAGCAGGAAGCATGGTGGTACATAGGCAGACATGGTGCTGGAGAAGTAGCTGAGAGCTATTCTGATTAGCGGGAAGCAGGCAGAGAGAGTGACACTGGGCCTGGCTTGGGCTTTTGAAACCTCAAAGCCAACCCCCAGTGACACACCTTCTCTGACAAGGCCACACCTCCTAATCTTCTCCAAATAGTTCATCAACTGGGGACTAAGCCTGAAAATATATGTACCTATGGGGACCATTTTCATTTAAACTACCACACCTATCAGTTCATTCTTCAACTAGGAATGAGTAGTGACTGAGATGAAGATCTCCAGACTATCTTTTAAATGTAAAATATTAATTTTGGAGGCATGAAGGGTCAAGGTCACTAAGCCACGTTTCTCTCAATGATTTCCTTCAAATGACATGAGGCAGTGTTGATATGCAATTGTCCTTGGTTATTATGCAAGGAGTGGCAGTCGAGTGTTCTAGACCAAAAGGAGATTTCAAAATCTTGTTTTTTCTTTTGGTGTTAGAGAAATGGTACTGACAAACACTTTGCATTGTTCACTTTGACAGAATGTGTAGACACCTGGAATTGTTTCATTGTTCTCTGACTCATCTCCTTCCAGACACTCAGCAGGCAGTGTGCATGTCACAGAGTTCTGGAAAGCAAGCACGTCGAGGTGATACCTAACCTGTTTGGATGCCTGGCAACCCCATGAACCCTGGGTGTGTCCACAGGGGAGAAAGAAGCTGGAGGTTTGCTCTGTGAAATCACTGTTACTGTGTTTCCTTTGCAGCCATCACCATGACTACGGTATGGCACACATTTCTGGAGAGTCACTGGTGCTTTGGGAATTCTGGATTGCAGAGACAGTCCACGAAATTTGTCTTTAAAGGATATTGGAAATTTGGGAATGTTTTTTTTCCCCTAAGTTTCTACCCATGAGTTAAAGAAACTGACTCTGGAGATTGAGTTCCCAGTGCATCTCAATCCTAAAGGAGAGAAATCAGCTCTGCGGCAGTGCGGAAGTGTGCTCTGCATCCACTTCCTTCTGGTTGTCCTCGATTGTCAGGAGCCTCTAATTTCAGCTAAACCACACGGTGGCTGACAGAGAACCTAAAATAAGAGTTTTGGTCACTTTTGTGACATTTTGATGCTTCTCCAGGTGCAACAGGGTAGTAGATACAAAAAAGCCAGTGGGCATTGCCTTTTCTTCTTTCTCATTTTATTATGTACATTTATGGCATGTCATGAGACAAGGGGCTGCCACTTCCGGTCAGAGCCAGTCTGGGAAGAACTGGACTCTGGCAAAAGAGTGTTTCTTTGACATGGTTGCTGAGTCAGGGCATGTTTCTTTGGTTCTGGGTTCAGGGATAAAGTGTTTCTTTCTCTGACTCAGGTCCCAGATCCAGGCTGTGTTTCTTTCCCTGGTTCTGGGTTCCAGGGTCAGAGTGCTTAGGGATTGGTTGGTTTCCTGCTCTGTGATTGGTTGGTTTCTCTGGTCAGTTGGTCAGGGGCAGAGTTCATTTCACTGGTCAGTCAGTTGGTCAGAGGCAGAGTCTGCTTCACTGGTCAGTTGGTCAGGGGCAGAGATGGCTCTGACCTCAGAGCCAAACTGTTTCTTTTACTGGCCTTTCTTAGCTTTTTGTCTAATTCTAATGTTAGGGCATATTTCTTTCACTTTCTCTGATTCCAAGGACAAAGAGAGCTTCTTTGGCACTGGTTTCAGAGTCAGGGCATGTTTCTTTGGTTCTGGGTTCAGGGATAAAGTGTTTCTTTCTCTGGCTCAGGTCTCAGGTCTAGGCTGTGTTTATTAAACTAGTTCTGGGCTCCAGGGTCAGGGTGGGTTTCTTTAGCCAGCCCCTTTCCTCTACAATCCTTTCCTCTTACTAAGCCTCTGAGCATTAGGCTTTGTAGAGCCATTATGATTATGAGTGGAGTTACTATATTTTAATTTGGTCATAATTTTTAATGTGTTAATTTTGCTGAAGGTAGAAAAACATATTTACTTTGAGTTTCTTATGATGCTTCTAGATTTTTATCTTTTAATGTATGTTTCAGACAGAGATAAGAATCAAGCACTACAATGACAACCTATTTGGAATTTATCGAACAAAATGAAGAACGAGATGGGGTCCGGTTCAGTTGGAATGTTTGGCCATCTAGTCGGCTGGAAGCTACAAGAATGGTTGTTCCGGTGGCAGCCCTGTTTACACCTCTAAAGGAGAGACCCGACTTACCACCCATTCAATACGAGCCTGTCCTGTGCAGCAGGACAACTTGCCGAGCAGTTTTGAATCCTTTATGGTAATCAAAATACATGGGAGGAAGTACTGTGGTAATATAGTTCAGAACTGTAATTTGTGCTGAGGGGTTAGCTCAGTTGGTAGAGTACTCACCTAGCACACACAAAGTCCTGGGGTCAGTCCCCTGCTTCACATAAACCAGCACACACCTGAGATCTCAGCACTCAGAGAGTAGAGGCAGGGCAATCAGAAATTCAAGATTATTTTCAGCTGCATAGCAGATTCAAAGCCAAGCTGGGCTACATGACATCTTCTCAACAAAAAGAAAAGGAAAATAAATGGTTTCTTATTCATTTATGTAAAGAATTCTGCTTTTTCTGTTTACGGTTGTAGTCTAGGAATCCCAAGAGCTTAAGTTTTAGTATTCTACTTACAATGAATTAGTAAAGTGAAGAGACCAGATACAAATGTCATTATAAAAAGTATTATATCCTATTAATGGTACTGGCTGTGTATGAACCTATCTTATGACTTGGAAAAGTCATAAATGAGTTGGGGTGGTATTCAAAAGGTGCTATTATTCCTAAGGCAAGATCTCAGGAAACATTTTTTAAATTTCTCTTTCTTCTGCCTTTCCTCCCATCTAGTTTGTTAGTGAATGCAGTCAGTTCTACCTCCAGAGCGCTGTGGATTCTCTGACTTTTACTTGGTGTTTGCTGATGCTGGGATTATAGGCTTACCCAGTCTTTCCTATCAATGTCACATCTTCCCAGCTTTTCTCTGAGCCTTGAGCATACCAACTAAACTTACACCTGGCACTTTGCAAGTGTTTGTTAATTCTTCATATAGCATTCTGCCTGTGTTCTCCTGTCATTGGCTTCCTTTCCTTCAGGCTGCTCTTCAAGTTTGAAGGATCTCCTTTGGTTTTCTTTGTTATTATCTTCGTTGTTGTTGTTGATTTATGTTTTGTGAGACAGTCTCACTGTGTAGCCCCGGCTGGCCTGGAACTTGTTATGTGACTAGACTAGCCTCGAACGTGCTGCATACAGTCCTCCTGCACCTGCCTCCCAAGTGTTGGGATTGCAAGAATGTACTACCGTGCATACCCAGGAAGGCTCTGCTTTAAAGTAGCTGTTCCAAACACTTTCTCTAGAAATAGCTCTCTTTGTTTTTTTGTCTGTGTAATTAAAACAAATAATTTGTGTTTGTGTGTACATGTATATGTGCTTGTGTGCATGCATGTGTGGTACTATGGAGGTCAGAGAACAACTTTTGGAAGTTAGTTCTCTCCTCCTAACATGGCTCTGGATATTAAACTGAGGTTGTTAGGCTTTCTTGGCAAGCACTTTGACCCAGTGAGCCATCTTGCTGGCCCTTTAATCTTTATTATTGCTACTTAAGTAGTATTTTCAGCTGGGTGTGGTAGTAGAAGCCTACAATTCTAAAGACTTGAGGGGTTGTGGGTTCTAGGTCAGCCTGGATGTTTTAGGAAGATTTGTCTCAAAACAAAACGAGACAAAGCCACAAAAAGTTGTTCTCAAGGTACAGTTTAGTTTAGTGGTAAATGTTTGTCTAATGTGTGAGGCCCTGGGCTCAACCCCTCATGCCCCAAGGAATAAAAAGCAAATCACTTTGATCATCAATTTTACTCCATGTTTTTGAATGAAATTAATTTTATTTAAATTAAGGTCCTTGTAAAATTGAACTGAAACATTGCCTAACTAATCTGTTTTTTCTTAAAACAGTCAAGTGGATTATCGAGCAAAACTCTGGGCTTGCAACTTTTGTTACCAAAGGAATCAGGTAAGGACATCTCCTACAGATGCTAATGCTGTAGTGCTGGTCCTGTAGGGGAATGCTTATGTAAAAAGGATAAAATGGTTATAACACAACAATCCTTCTTTTCATTCCATGTATGGGTTGTGTGTTGGTGGGTGTGCATATGCAAGGTTGAGCATGTGTAGGTCAGAGGAAACTTGAGGGATTTAGTTCTCTACTTATACCATATGGACTCCAGGGGTCAAACTCAGGTAGTCAGGGTTAGAAGCAAGAGCACTTAGCCACTAAGTCATCTCACCAGCCTGAAAAATATCTTTTTAATAATTAAATGAGACCAGCCTGGTCTACATAGTGAGTTCCAGGACAGCCAGGGTTGCATAGAAGACCCTGTCTCAAAAACAAACAAACAACAACAACAACAACATAAAATGCAGACAAAAATTTAAATGATGAGGAAACAATTTTGAGTTTAAAACTTTATTTCTGGCAATAATTTGGTAACTTTTTTTTCCTGTTTGCAGTTTCCACCTACATATGCTGGGATATCTGAACTGAGTCAGCCTGTTGAGCTTTTACCCCAGTTTTCAAGCATTGAATATGTAGTTCTGGTAAGAACATAAGAGTAGGTATTTAAGAAAGCTGTAAGTGACAAGGACTTATGTCAGGATCATTCTGAAAATGGAGGTCCTGTTAAGGGCCTGACAAATCGAATTGAGCATTTCACAGTTAAGAAACATTAAGATCAATTTGATGAAGGTAATTTCTGACTGGAATTATTTGATGATTATTCAGATACTGGGTAGGATGGTGTGATTTGATCAGTTAGGAAGAACATTTCAGCTTCATTTTATAATTGGAGGTCTCTTGACATATATTTGGTTAATAGAATACTAAATTCTGCTGTGTGTTCAGGAGTTTATGAATGAACATACCCTTGTTGCTTATGGATTTTATTGTGGAGAGCTGGGCAGGTTAGGTCATGCCTGTAATCACAGAACTTTGCTTATGGAAGCAGAAGGATCAGGGGTTCAAGGTCATCTTGGTCTATGAGT